ATGCTGGAGGGGCCCCGACGTTCTTCCCACCGTTGCCCCCCCGACCCCGAGGGGGGCCGCAACAGTTTTGAAACGACCGAGCTCGTTACAGGACGGGTGCTTCGTGCGCGTCTGAACCTAGGGGTAGTTGTGCTTGGATTGCCCATTGCAGCGTGCGCAATTTTGGTCGATCTGCGAGTCGGAAACGACGGGTGGTTTTGTTGATCCAGCGGGGCCTGGGGGAAACGCGGGGAGCGACGCGCCTTTGAGTTATCATTTTCGCAGATGGCCTCAACAACTCCTCCTCGCCGCTCAGACCGCCGGCGCCAGAGGGCGCGCGGGGCCCAGGCGTGGGCTGCGCAGATTGGCGAGCCACGCAGGACAGGACGTGGACCTCCCTCTTCTCCCCCCTCGCGGAGAACGACGGGCCGCGCAAAGGGTCATGTGGAAGTGCTCAATCACGTCGGGGATGTCCGACCATGTTGGCGTCGCAGTGGATTTCCGACCTTTTTCGCCCAAGAACCCCGATGCGCGGCGCATTCCCAATGTGATTTCCAGGCCTCTATCTTCAAAACTATGCCCAGGCCAACTTGGACGCGCGCGACCTCTCTCAACTCGACCCTCCCCGCCGACTCCAGCTCCAAAAGACGTCAGTCCGAGATGCGGCCCGATTTGCGCGACCGGCGATTTTGGCGATCGAACCCCGCGCCCGCCAGGCCAAGATTTGTCTGCTGCGTTCCATCGCCCGCGTGGTCTGGCGGCGCAACGTCAGACTTGGCAGCGTCCCGATGCAGGCGCGCCCACTGACTGCTGAGCATCTGCTGGTCGACGTCGCGACCAACTTTGTTTGTCTGCGTAGCCCTGCCAAATTCCCCGATTTGCTGGGCGGGCTTCAGATGGGAGGCCTGGGCGCCGAAGTTCACGACCGACAACGGGCCCCGCGGGCCTCCGACTGCCCCAATTGTCGGAAGGAAATCCGACAACGGCTCCGACGCATGGAAAACAGCGCTCGCATCCGGGTCTTGTTCGACAGGCGTCCGGGCCTGAATTCCATCGAAGTCAGCGGCGCGGTTCATGGGGATCCTCGGCGGAAGCAGTCTGAGATTTCACGGTGCTGGGGAGAGGTGCTTTTGCTGAAATCGATGGCTCGTCCTGCCGCTCGCCGACGCGTCGGTCGTCTCGCCTCCCGCCGCGACCTCATCGACCTGTCGCCTCCAACCTGCCGACGTATCGAATCCCACTTAAGGCGTCGACGCCGCTCTGCCCCAGGCCCCGACAGGCGTCCGCATGCTGCGAGGCAGCAAGCCCCCGGCGCAGCGGGCGCCCATCACGCCTGCCTCTGGCGGGTCCGCCAGGGCGGCGCGCCTGGATGCGATGTCAATTTCTTCTCAGGAAAGGGGATGGACTAGGGGCTGCTCGATCCGCAGGGGACTGGACCGAAAAAACACGGGCGACAAATATTGGTGGGGGTGTGTCTGGCCTCGTTTCTCGACGCGGAGCGTCGATTGCGCGCCCTGAGCAGCGAGGTGCCATCTCGGGCCGCCAGTTTGGAGGCAACATCACTCAGCCAGACGCGGCCGCGAGACGGCATTCCATGGCCCCCTCCGCCACCGCCGACCTTCCTGCGTTTATCGCCTTTGACTTCTCCCAAGCTGTTCTTGCTTTCGCGCGAATGGGATGGCGATGGCCCCCGGGAGCGGATAGTCTACGCCGTGGCGACTGACTCTTCCCCCCTGGACTTCCCCAGCGCGTCGAATCCGAAAACCGAGGGGAGATTCAGGCCTGCGCAGATGACATAGGCGCCGTCATTCGCCGATTTCAGCACGCGGAGAAGCTCGGGCGCATTTTTAAGAATGCTGCCGACCTTGCCGGCCTCATGTTGATGCCGGTGCAGTGCCTGGTCGTTCCGCTCAGCGGCCTCTTCCCCCCTGCTCTCGCGGCCCTCTCCATGCAGAAGATCGGCGCTTATGTGCCTATGTGGAGTGAATCCGGGATCGTCGACAACCCTGGGTGCCCGGGGGCGTGGCTCGGCCCGAATGCTCAAACAAAGAGTTGGGGAAATCCGGCAGCGGAATGGAGAGGGCGTGGGCTCGCACTGGCCGCGGCGCAAGCCGCCGCCACCATCGCGCAGTGATTGCGTGTCCAGAGAGTCGCCCGAGTGCTGGGCTACGTCGCTCAATTCCTCCCTCGCCCTCCGAATCTCGCCCGACATGGAGGCGCCTTGCTGGCTCGAATCTTTCGAATCCCCCACTGTGGTCTGACGGGCGCTGCGCGGCGCAGCATGGGCACATGAGGCGGCCCAAGTGCCCTCTCTGGTGACGCTTTCCTTTGCTATTTGTGCTCGAGCGGCCTGCTCATTTTTTTGCGTCGTGGCGCTCGGCGCTGTCACTTCTGGAGGCGATTGCGTTCAACGGGTCGGGCGTCGCTGACTACTGCCGAGGCAAAAGAAGCCCTGCCTGGTGGGGTTCGACAGCTCCATTAGAACGCATGTCACAGGCAGCCGACGGATTCCCGATGCATAAAATTTGCATTCAGCTGCGAACGTGCTTGGGCGAAGCTCTCGTGACCCAGCGTCGCGAGGTGAGCCATAGACGAAAGTCTAAGCCCCAGCGAGCTTTCATGCGTTCATTTTTTCAAACCCTGCTCCCTGGGGACTGGCCCACTCTTGTTTCCCGTCGCCTGCTGTCCCGTTTCCCTGCCCTGGCTTTGGAGATCCGTGGTCTAGCCTGGGTCCTGATCCAAGAAAACGCTCGGATGCTGAAACCATGTCATTCCTTCGCTGTGTTCAGGACTCTCAGTAAGAACTGGTGCACCGAATTCCGATTTTAGAAATCTAAGGTCCCCATTGGCATTTTCAGGTGCCTTGGGGCCCCAGATCGTCTCAGCCACTATCTTTCCTGTCCTCGCATGTCTCCCCTCCCTCGTGCCCTCGTCGACTTTGAGACTCCGTCCTTCCCTCTGTCCTCTCTCGCATCTGTCCATCGTTTCATTGCATCTTCCGATTGCGGTATCTGTGCATCCCGCGGAAGCCAAAGCAGCGGTGCGTCAGCGTGGCGGATGTCCATTCGCTAGTGACAGGGCCAGCGCCTTCCTGCCTTCCGTGCGTTTCTCTGTGCAGAGGTAGCAGTTGTTGAGGATCAGACTTCTGGGTGCGTTCGAGGAGGGGGTGGAGGAGGAGGAGCAGGATGAGGAGGAGGAGGAGGAGGAGGAGGAGGAAGAGGAGGAGGAGGAGGAGGAGGAGGAGGGGGAGAAGGAGGAGGTGGACGGAGACGGGGAAGAGGATGCGACAGCGGGTGCCTGCGCGGGTCCAAGAGATCCGCGCGGGCTTCGGAAAGTTCCTGCTGGTGCCTTGCTCCCCAGAGCCAGGCTTCCGACGTCTTGATCTTCCCAATGCTGGGTTCCTGGAGCTCTGGGTTACTTCTCGTGTTTGCACGGTCTTGGGAGGGCCCCCGTGCGCCGGAAACGAAAAACCTCTGCCTTTGTGCGTTTCCCAATCATTGTGTCGTGTTGGGTCCTCGTTTAGAAGAGACAGCGCCCCGCGTCTCCTCACTCACTCCTCCCCCTCCTCCCCTCCCCGCCTCTGCCCTCTCGCGTGTCCACTTCGGCGCGCCCCTCGCGCGTTTCGAAACCACGCAGAGTGCTCCGCCGAAGGCCACAGTGGCAGGGTCTGCATGCGCCTCGATTTTTGCGCACCCCTCACACGATGCGAGGCCCCATAGGGTGCTCCACCCGAGGCCCCAGTGGCAGGGTCCGCATGCAGTTCCAACCCCATTTCGGCGCACCACGCGCTTCGTGGCCCCATAGGGTGCTCCATCCAAGGCCCCGGTGGCAGGGTCCGCATGCAGTTCCAACCCCATTTCGGCGCACCCCTCACACGTTTCGTCGCCCCATAGGGTGCTCCACCCAAGGCCCCAATGGCAGGGTCCGCGTGCAGTTCCACCCCAGTTTGGGCGCGCCCCCCACACGATTCGTGGCCCCGTAGGGTGCTCCACCGAAGGCCCCCGTGGCAGGGTCCGCATGCAGTTCCATTTCCATGTCGGCACACCCGTCACACGCTCCATGGCCCCGTAGGGTGCTCCGCAGTGGCAGGGTCCGCGTGCAGTTCCACGTCAATTTCGGCGCACCCCTCGCACGTTTCGTGGACCCAAGGCACCAGTGGCAGGGCCCGCATGCATTTCCTCCCCCATTTCGGCGCACCCCTCAGACGTTTCTTGGCTTCATGGGGTGCTCCGCCGAAGATCTCAGTGGCAGGGTCCGCATGCAGTTCCACCGCCATGTCGGCGCACCCTTCATACGTTTCGTGGTCCTATAGGGAGTTCCGCCAGAGGCCCCCGTGGCAGGGGCCACATGCACTTCCACACCCCAATTTCGGCGCACCCCCGCACGTTCCGAGGCCCCGTAGGGTGCTCCACCGAAGGCTCCAGTGGCAGGGTCCGCGTGCAGTTCCACCTCAATTTCGGCACACCTCTCACACGTTTCGAGGCCCCATAGGGTGCTCCACCGAAGGCCCCCGCGGCAGGGTCCGCATGCAGTTCCACCTCCACTTTGCGCACCCCTCACACGTTCCGTGGCCCCATGCAGTGTTTCATTCAGGGCCCCAATGGCAGGGTCCGCGTGCAGTTCCACCATTCATTTCGGCGCACCCCGTCCACGTTCCGTGGCCCCCAAAGGTCCCAGTGGCAGCCCCGCACGTGGTTTCACTTTGCATTTCGGCGCACCCCTCGCACGTTTCGTGGCCTCACATGGGGCTGCACCGACGGCTCCGGTGGACGCGCCCGCATGGCGTACCCGTGCCGTTTTTGACACACCCCAGTGGGAGAGAGGTTCACCGAGGATGATCCCAACGACAGCGTTGCAGACAGCTGCACATGGTTGGGTCTTTCGCCTGGTAATCAATCGACACGTTGGAGGTTTGGATACCTCCGACGTCGCGATGCTTCTGTCCCGATCCGCGGCGCCGAGGGCGCCGCCAAGGAGGGGTGCGCCCTGACCCGCGCGCGCGCCCCCGCGCTTGGGGCCAGGCGTCCGCGCTTGGTGGGACGTGGGCCTGCGCGAGGCAGGAGCCGCTGGGCGCCGGGGAGGCCCCTTGGCCGCCGCCCAGGGCGGAGGGACGGAAGCCAGAGCCACCACGAGGATGCGAAGTTGGTCGCGCTTCGCGGTCTGGATGATTTCAGAACGATGCGCTATTCCTTTATCTTGTTCCAGGGAAGGTCGAAGATTATCGCGCTTCGCGGAGCGCGGAGCGCGAATATGGTTGCCTTGGGGGGAGGAGCAGGGAGGAGGGAGTGATCCTGGCGTTGCATGTGTTTCACACCGGACGGTTTTGCCTCGTTTCGGGCCCCGTGGCCCTCACACATCAATCTGGTTCGAAACATGCTGCAGCAAGGTAGGGTTCAGGGCTCGGGCCGTCATTGTTGGCGATGCTGCACTTTTTGCGCAGCGTCGGATCTCAGGGGAGGGGGGGGGGGACAGCAAGGGGGAAGGATGGGGGGAGAGGAAGGAGGTTGGAGGACAGGGGGGAAGGGAGAAGGGAGGGGGACAGCTGGGGGAGGGGGAGGAGAAGGGAGGAGGAATTCTAGACGCCTCGCGTTAACCCATCAGGTTAGTGCGTAATTTAGGTCGTTGCATTGTTGCTTCGTTCTGACGGCGCGCGGCTGTACCGCTTGCGCTCGCGACCAAACAAAAAGTAACCCCACCAGCCCACCCAGCAACGATGCCCACACGAGCTGCCCTGATCAGGGATGTGGATGACCATGCAAGTGGAAAAAAAGAGCTCGGTAAGACGTCGTACCCCAAGAGGGAGATGATGGAGGAGGAATCGGAGGAGGAGGAGAAGGAGGAAGAGGAGGAGGAGGAGAGGGGAGAGGGAGAGGGAGGGGAGGGAGAAGGACGGAGGAGGAAGAGAAGGAGGAGGAGGGCGAGCACAACGGCCAGAGGCCTCTAGGAGTGTCTTGGAAGTCTTTTGGCAGTCCCAGGGAGCTCTTGCATGTTGTCCCGCAAGTGCATTGTCTTCCGCCGCCCGGCAATGACCTACGCTCAGTGTCTGTGTTCCGGCGCGCTTGCATTCGCGAGGCAGTATTTCACATTTTTCGTTGGCCTTCGTATCATGTGGATGTTCTGCTGGTGCGCCGTCTAGGCGCGGCTTCTTGCGTGCGTGCGTGCGTGCGAGAGCTCTTGGGGCGTCTTGGGTGCCTGGCCTCTTGGGGGTCTCTTGGGAGCCCCTTGGGGGCATCTCGAGAACATCTTGGGATCCTCTTTGGGCATCCTTGACACCTCTTGGGGCCGTCTTGGGGCACCCTTGGAAGCCTCGGGGGCCATCTTGGGACAATCTTCGAGGAGATCGATCAAAGGAGCGCCGTAGTAAGTAAGGGTCCCCTCCCCAAGCGGCCAACATGTGGCCAAAGCTGGAGTAATACGTAGCACCTCGCAGATGCGGATACGAGTGAGGGGGCGGTGGGGACGTCGGCGGTCTGCGAGACTCCGGAGAAGCTCGCCGTAGGCGCCAAAGTTTCACACATTATACAACAAACCCGCCGCATGCGCCGATTTTTTCTTCAAACCAATGTGGATCGGTCGCGTGTGGGTCGCGGGTGCGTCGCGGGGTGGGTCGCGGGTGGGTCGCAAGTGGGTCGCGGGTGGGTCGCGGATAGGTCGCGGGGTGGGTCGCGGTCGGGTCGTGGGGTGGGTCGCGGGGTGGGTCGCGGGTTGGTCGCGGTTGGGTCGCGGGGTGGGTCGCGGGTGGGTCGTGGGTTGGGGCGCGGTTGGGTCGCGGGGTGGGTCGCGGGGTGGGTCGCAGGGTGGGTCGTGGGGTGGGTCGCGGGGTGGGTCGCGGGTGGGTGGCGGGGGGGACGACGACAACAAACAACAAAAACACCAACAACAATCATTTCACCCTCATGTGCGATGTTTCCACACGAAGCATGCGACCATCATGATAACCACCCCCATCATGGGGGACTCTTGTTCTATAGCGGGGCCCGTTATTCCCATTCCCAGGTCTCCCGCCAAATGAGGTGTTGCAAACACCTCCTCCGAGGACTTTCAACATGTTCCGCCTCGAAAACGCATGCCCGCGCCTTGCTGCGCCGATGCGAGACCGGCAGTGGAGCCCCAGCCAAGGGTAAAGCACAAGGAAGTATCGAGCGACAGGATTGCCTTGGTGGGGAGGGGTGCTGTCGGCGGCGAGGCAAGGACCTGGCCCTCAATAGAAAGGGAGGATGTCTCGAGCAGGGCCAGTGTTGTGCTGGGAGCGGCGCCAATGCTGAAGAGAGTAGGGCGCTAGTCCAGCGTAAAACGAAACGAAGTCTCGAGTGGGAGCACTGGTTTTGTTGGGGCGGCGGTTGCCTGCGGCGAGGATGAACACCGCCTTGAGTAAGAAGGGCAGAAGTCTCGAGCGGGAACCGTGGTTCTGTCGGGACGGGAGCTGTCGGCGGCGAGGAACGGCACCGTCCTGAGGAAAAAGGGAGGACGCCTCGACCGGGAGCATTGTTCTTGCTGGGAGCGGCGCCAATTCAAAAGAGAGTAGGGCGCCAGTCCAGCGTGAAACGGGAGGAAGTCTCGGGCGGGAACGCTGGTTTTGTCGGGGCAGCGGCTTTCGGCTGCGAGGAGGAGCGCCGCCTTTAGTAAAAAAGGGAAGAAGTCTCGAGCGGGAGCGTTGTTGTTGCTGGGGGCGGCGCCGATGAGAGAAACAGTAGCGCGCCATCTAAGGTAAAACGGGAGGAAGTCTCGAGCGGTAGCGCTGGTTTTGTTGGGACGGCGGCTTTCAGCAGCGAGCAACAGCACGGGCCCTGAGTATAAAAGGAGGAAGTCTCGAACGGGAGCGTTGTTGTTGTTGTTGTTGAACATTATTAATTCTAAAGAATAATTATTGTTGGGACCCCTGGTGCGCGACCCCCCTCCAAAACCTAGGCCGCAGCTACATTTTCATCATTTTTTCGCGAAAGCTTCAGAAAAGTGGATTATGTCCGGATCCGGTTGTTTTGTTCCCCCCCGCTTTCCCTTGCAAAAAACACTATAAAATGACATTTCTTGTTCTAATATAATCAAATTTCAAGAATCCTTTGCAAAAAATAAGGTAAAGTGGACATTCGCGCGCGCAAGACGAAATCCTTCCAAAAGCTTAGTGTTCGGAGCGATTTCAACATAAAAACATCAAAAAACTAATGGTTTTTCAACAAAAAAATGTCAAAATCTCATCCCGCGCGCTCTTGCGGATTCGTAGGAAACCCAACACTTTTTCAACATTTCTGTCAAACGGGCTTTTGCGAGCAACTTTTTCGAACTTCTGCGACAACGGTTGCGCACCTGCCAGGGCCATCATCCCTGTCAAATAATACCATGCGGGACAGATTCGTTTTTTCTTCGCGCGCGCACGCCGAAATCTCCAAAAACCATTGGGTTCTTAAGAATCTATCACCGCGCATCATACAATCACACGAATCGCACCGTAGGTCCTCGAAAAACAGCTGCACGACTTTTCAAAATTTCCACCCGCGCGCGCTGTCCGAATCCTACGTGCCCCTGTGAGGCAACACTTGCCCCAAAAAATGTGACCAACTTTTGTCTTCTGTCCCTCATACGTATCATGTGCAACGTGTATCCTGCGTAAGAAGCAGTGTGGCTGTGAGGCAAAATCTCCAAAATTGATCAACTTCTGTGCCTCATGTTTCCCATACGTATCTTGGGCAATACGCATATCCACCGCATGTGAAGCACAATTTGCCCCAAGAATGTGACCAACTTCTCTGTGTCATGGTCAACATACCTTCTCTCTTGTGTCCTCCCACATCCCTCAGGAAGTTGCCCTAAAGATGTGACCGACTCCTCTCTCTCATTCTCTATGTCTCTCGCTCTTTCTCTGCTTCATATCTATCATATGAACACATCTACTTGTGTAATCGCCTTCCCAGGCAATTGCCCCAAAAATGTGACCAACTATCTTGGCAGTGCGTACCATCTGACGTGTACCGTGTACCACATCTTCTCAGGTTGCCTCACACATGTGACGAATCTCTTTCTATCTCTCTCTCCTCTGGCTCTCTGTCTTGCTCTCTCTCTCTCTCTCTGTCTCTCTGTCTTGCTCTCTCTCTCTCTGTCTTGCTCTCTCTATGTCATGCGCAACGAATGCACGATGCGGGGCACATGCGGGGCCCAAACAAGTGATCAACCTCTGCGGGTGTGTACTCCACGCCAGTGTAGTATCCACGATCGTCCGCGCGCCACGAAGTGAAGTGTCCTGACGTCATAGGGCGGGAAGCTGGGTGTGGGTGGTTCCCTAGAGTCGTGTGGATGTTTGGTAGAGCTTGCATTGCCCCCCCACGAAGTGGGGGTATTGGCTGGCGTCGCATGATAACCCTGGCACTGGGGAGAACACTGAGCGTTCGGGTAAAATGATTGTTGTTGTTGTTGTTGTTGTTGTTGTTGGTGTGGTGTTTGTTGGTGTTGTTGTTGTTGGTGTTGTTGTTGTGGAGTTTTCATTTCTGAAGAATAGTTATTGTTGATCCCCCCCACCGGTGCATACGGTGTTTTCTCAGTTAAAGTGTGCCCCTCGACGCTCGCACCTTGTTTTTTGCCAGGGAAAGTCTTCCTGCTCAAACTGGGCCCCTGGCCCCCGGGTTACAGCAACAACGGCTCCGGCCTGAGACTTCCTTTAAATTCATCACGCTTCGCGTATCCCCACCAGCCCGTCCAGGAACGACGCCCAGGCGAGTAGAGGGTCGTCCTGATGGGCTTTTCGGCGTCTTGGGTGCCTCGGGGGGGCCTCTTTGGGCCGTTTGGGATCCTCTTGGGGGCCTCCTGGGGGCCTCTTGGGGCCATCTTGGGGCCCCTTGGTGCCTCCTGGGCGCTTCTTGGGGCCATCTTGGAGGAAGGCGATCAAAGAAGAGGGGAGCTTTCATTAGCGCTGCCCCCTCAGAAGGCCAACATGGGGCCAAAACCTTAGTAAAATCAATGATTTTGGCTTGAAAGAAGGCTTTAATTAGCACTGCCCCCTCAGAAGGCCAAAATGGGGCCAAAACCGTAGTAAAATCAATGTTTTTTCGCTTAAAAAAAGAGGGTTTGTTTTTCTCCCCCCCCCCGTCGG